ACGTACCTTTTTTGATGGGTAGACTGATGTCGACTCCATTTTCACAACAGTAAGGACATGTTACAATAATAATGATAATAATAATATACTGGACGCAGGCTTATTAAGTCTATATATCCAGATCAGAGTTAAAACGAATTAGTATCCCGTATATGAATTAATAGAATCTTCCCCTACCCTGAGGGTGTGATAGAGAAATCTCCAACCCGAGGGGTGATTTTTGTCGTGTCTAAAGCCGAGGGTTAGACTACAAAAAAAATCACCCCGAGGGTTGGAGATTTCTCTGTCACATCCTCTGAGGGTAGGGGTTGATTATTTTTCTCCCACCCCATTATTTCCGCCACGATGTATATATATATAAAAAAAAAATCCCACGGTACAAGTGCCTGAATGGCGCATGAATATCACCATTCACGTTTCCAAAATTCTACATTCTTCCGCAAGAGCAAAATGACAGACTACAAACGCAATATGAATAACCATTAAAAATATTTATTTTTTGGAAATTAAATATCTTAATTAGCGATAGATACATGGAAATACTTGTATTGAACAACATTTAACTCCGTATCATTTATTAAGGTAGGGTAGGCTTGCTGCGATGTCATGGACAAAAAGGGGATTTCCAAGTTTATAATGACGTCAATTGTTTATGCGCGCGAAAAATTGCAATGGTGTGAGTGTCACGCGTGTTTTCATTCAGAATCAGAGTCATAGATGATCCTCCGACGTTTATTTGTGTTCACTGTACAAGGATTGTTATAGTTAATGTTAACTGTGATGTTACAGTCGCGCATTACGGAACCTGCAAACAAAGCATCCACTCGTCGGTTTGAGTCAGTTGTGATAGCCGACTGAGGTCACCGAGTGCAGTCATGTGGGATAGATTTATCCTCCATGGGTGTTCCACATGGGACATGTCTATCCTACATGGGCAGAGGTGGGAGAACAATGTGTTATTGTCTAGTTCATGGTTATAAACACATTCATTTTGCCTCCAATGATTATCCAATCGGGATTCGAAAGTTTTGATTGTTGGTAACGTTATGACGGCATTAGGAAGTGAATTCCAATCTGCTCCTTCTATTTAATACTGGATAACTGTGCCCTCTTGTTATCTTGGTATTGGTTTGTAACAGGAAATCCTCTGAGATAGCCCTATCATATTCTCCATGTATGAAATTGTATACTTGAATCATATCTCCTCTCCAGCTTATGTGCCTCAGTGTCTATAATTTAAGGATCCGTATCCTGCTTTCATGTGTCGTGTACTATTTATATTTGACTTTCCAATTGTCTATCAAGTACTTTGAGGGGTTCTTTAAGTAGTATTGAGGTATTATTGTGTTGGTAAAATAGGATTTGATTTAGACACATAGTGTTACGTCAGGAAATAAAGTTCTGTATATATAACTAGGAATATAATGATACTAGATAGGAGAGCGAACAACAAAACAAAACGCGATGACTGTGCTTACATCACAGTTAAAATCACATCCACTCGCACGAATCAAAATCGCCTCTGATTTATTTTAGCAATGATTGAAAATCGAGACTTGAGCAGGAGACTTAGGTTCAAATTCGTGTTTTACATTTTTTCTTGAAACATTGCATGAAATTCAAATCTTAGCGTTATACAATGTACATCTAAAGTGAATATATTTAGGTAATTTGGTCACATTATCATCAAAAACACCTCATTTATAGATAACCTACGGTTTAACACAAGTTTTACAAGGTTTTATGACACAAGGCCTTTATTCTCTTTTAATGATATTTATGGTTTGTCTTTATCTTCCCCTCGTCTATCGATTTAAAGTTAGATTAAATTTGTATTGCTTTACGTCCTATTTTTATTGTGACGGCATTTCAGACAAAATTTACCGATCCTGACCTTCTCATTGGCTGAAATATCGAAAAGAGTTAGGGCCCTCTAGCGGCAATTTTCTGCGTAAATAATGCCGCGATTTTTCAAATCGCTTGTTTAAAAGCATCCAAAATTAGTTTATTTTACTATATTTATACTTGAATTCGTCTCTGATGCTTATTTTCTCTCTTTGGCTTAATGGCACAGTTTTGGTAGTGATATCTAAGGAGGACCTGAAGCGAAGAATCAACGGCAGAGGTTAAATCTGATTATCTTTATTTGGCCGAGGTCAGGGTGTAGTGTCTGACCATATAAATTCAATACAATTTTACATCAATAAAACGAATGCAATTATACATAACATTACGTCACAATGTAGCTTACTAAGTAACGTACAGTGTATATGTAATGTGATCACCTGAAGATGGCCGCGAGGCCTGAAAATGTTAGTGATATATTTGTTTGTCAAGTGAAGTGATTAATTTTCTCTGTATATACGATACACAATTTTTTTTTATCTTTTTAAATTATATATATTCAATTTATTGACACAAAGTTACTTCTAAACAATTCCAAAATGAAACTAAAAGTTTGTGTGAATCTTAATGATCCATTAAGTTCATTATTCAATTCAATTACTATGATAACATTGTTGATTAGTTCGTTATACACAGTTGACTGATTTTATTTAAATTAACATTAAAGTTCACAACCAACACTGTAGATATGTATTCTGTAACCATAACAACCAGGCATAACATGTTTTACACATAGCTATAGATAGTTACTTCCGGTTTTATGACTAGCAGGGTGTCAGGGGTGAGAACTATTTCCGCCTAAGGGAGATTAACCTTACTAATACCCACGCTATCCCCTTGGATATTGTGAAAATTCTGATTAATTGAAATATCCCGAAGGATTGATTATGAAAACAATATTTAAAACGACAAATTACAATCTATACATCAGAAATATTAACGATTAGAAATTCACACCTGAATATTTACAAATAATTGCTAGTTTCAAACACACTACCGAAAATTGTCAGTATCCTAGCTGTGGCTGCACATGATGCAGATCGCTAACTAAATGTAACTCATCTTAAACACAATCTCTAGCGGAATCATCAAAATTTGAATAATTTGTAAACTTATAATTTCAGTTCTAGTCTTAGGCAAGCTTGAATCATCACTGCCATATCAGACTTTAAAAAATTCAGACAAAATAAATTGACTGTGCCGGTTGTCAGTTTTGTAAGATTTTCAAGAGAAATAACTCTTATTTTACCTACTGAATTACTCTTGACTAATTACAGAACAGAAAGTTGCTGATGCCGTACGTATAATTAATAATAGCGCTACACCTATTTCTTCAAAAGTTTTAAACATATTTAAATTCTCTAAAGCTTATAAAATATTTACGTAAAGATTTCTTAAACTATAAGACCTTTATAAACTCGAAACAGTAATGAGACCTTAACTAAATAAAAATTATATATGATACATCTCAATTTTATAATAAAGATCGTAGAAAAACTATTTAGTGTTAAGTTAAATAAATGAAAACTGTATCACCTGAAGTGAAGAATCAACAGCAGAGGTTAAATCTAATTATCTTTATTTGGCTGAGGTCAGGGTGTAGAGTGACATATATATATATGTAACCTCTCTGTCCGCTTCTCCACCCAGGGGTCCGAATAGGGAAAATAACAATAATTTACAAAATCCCTTTGTGGTGCCTCATAGCCCTGTAGATAATCACTGCGCATGTTTAGCGTACTTGACACCTACAAAGTACCTGTCCAACCTGGTTCACCTGTAAACAAGCGCAGTGTCAACACTCTGGCACCATCGTGTGACCCTTCTAACTAATTGCCCTATAGTTATTTTTCATCTATTTAATACTTTCCATGTTTGTATGTTTTTATATTTAAAAGAGTTATTGCCTTTGGCATCTAAGAATAGCCAAATTTGTATGGACCTGAGAGTAGTGAGAATTTGTGTAATTAACTCTTTGTAATTGACTTTACCCTTACCCTAAGTTATCCTTAAAGTGTACCCTGAGAGGTCAGCTATGTTTGAGTTAAAGAATAGTTCTGCACATAAAATACACATTGCCGAAAACGCGAATGCCGTGGAATGTTCCGTTACTGAAAAATTGCGACTTTTCTGAAAAACACACCTTTGGCTGAGAGGCGTTTGCCCCGTTTTCGGGTATCCATACCTGTGACGTCATAAATTCAACGCTTTTGCTGTTGCAGCCATATTGGCATTACTGTGCTACATGTGATTGTGATCTATTTTGGGAATTTCCGGGGTAATTTCTTTGTTTATTTACGTGAAAGTACTTCACATCTTCGCAATATTTAAGGTAGTGAACGAGGGGTCGGTGAATAAGCGCTTAAATCCGCTAAAATGGCTTCTTATCGAGAAGGGAAGCAGTGTGCAGCGTACGGTTGTCCTAACGGTCCCGGGGATTTTCATATGGGACTGGTTGAAATAAGTTTGCTTAAACAATAGTTCGTTTAATGATCAATAGTATATCAATATAACACATATAGGTAGTTCACAGGGGTGTGGACTATTACTTGCATATATACACTTAGGTTGGTGTAGTCTGGGTCCCGATAATCTTATCAGTGGGTGTACAGCTTCGGCCAGTTAATTAATTAGAGATTATCCCCACTTCCTTGATAATCGAACTTATGCAATTTTCCGTTCGGACAGTGGCCACCTAGTAGTAGAGTAAGTATTAGGGTTCATTTCAAGTAACAATTTATCAAGGGGAATCTCAACCTTTCACCACGAGTCGAGTGCAGGTGGCTGTACTTCAACAATCGTATCATCTAGCAACAAGTGAAGTCCATATTAGAGGATGGCCAGACAAGCTTGGTCCAGAGTAAGATAAAAAGGGAGGGGAGAGATTAGAACACACGGCCTTGTGGGAGCCCACCAGATGTACAGTTCTGATACGAGACACAATGTGAAGTACTAGTATGGGTATATGAACTCTGTACGTTGATAAGATGTTGCTTTTGCACCTGTAACATTATTATTATTCAACATGTAATAAACATGGCTATTACCAACAAGTACGTGTGTTTACGCCTACTGTGTTACAATGGCATATGTGATTCCGACTCTCTGGACTCTCAAACAGCCAATAGTGATCGTAGTTGCACCAACTAACAAAGACTCTACCATGGACGTTTAAAGAAGTAGGTACTTTTCAAGGATCAACTTCCATCAAAGCAGTGTATTAAGATAATTACTAAGGATCCACTTCGGGCGGAACGAGCGAATGCTGCTACAAAAATATAACATTTTGGCAAAGTTGGTGAAGACCACAACAAGATACACCGAGTTGTGAATGGCAGAAACTTGAAGCATCTGATATCTTATTCCCTCGTGTGGACCTGAATTACCGTGAGACCATCATCACATGTGGTACGTACCGAATTAAACAGCCATCTGGTTCTCATTAGGAGGTCTCAAATGAAGTACAACGTTTGGATTCAGTTTGACGAGAATGAATCTGGCGATCCTGTGAAATCATACTATTGTTATGTCCTACCGGAGGGAGAACCTCTAGCATGTGTGCCCATGTTGCATTAGTAATATATTACTTAGGGTATCATGTGCATTTGGAACATCCAAAACCTGTGCGATCACACAGTAACAAACTGTAAGATTCTATTGTATGAATTAACCTGTGAATGACTCAATGATAATTACATTACAATATGAATTGTAATGTAATTATCATTGTATGCCTAACGTATGGTAATAATCGTCATCAGAAATTATTTGCATTATAAATTTATCTTTAAAAAATAAACGTTGTCAGTGTCTTAACACATGTATGTAATAGCCACGCCCTTTGGTTTCTGTTTCATTATGAAAAAAATAACATGCTGATAAAATTTGAAATATTTTCCTGATTATGTCATCACAACAGAATCTGTATCTGGAACAATTTTTCCGGTCCCCAAATTCGAGGCAATTTTTCGGTACTTCCAGTATATGGATATTTTTACCAAAACTTGAATTTGTTGAAATTTCCATGAATAATTATGATTTTTTCCCCATGTTTGTATTTTCTTAATGTTTTTCCATAACTTTTTATGTTTGAAATACTTGGCTTCATATTTGAGCTCAAAACATACAGCAGACTTTAATGAAGAATATTTGACCCAAATTCATCATAGGTATTTGAACTAGTTGTAGGGTAAGATGTACACACTGACTCACATCCCTGTGATGATCATAAAATAGGTCATGGTTCAGGCCATAGGTGACTTATGGATTTTTAAATATACGTTGTTAGGAGTTTACATGTGTATTAAAAATAATACACAGCAAAGGTTGGACTTGACTGTGGGCAAACTTACATGTACTATGAAACAGGTTGATTTAGTAAGTGAGTGGGTTTATCTGTTGTAATATCATGTGCTATCATCCGTTTCTCCGTGTTTGAAAAGTAGTCAACACTCTGAATATCCAGGTATATGTGAACACCCATTATTAGTTTCAAACTTCCTGCTTGATCGAATATTGTATGGGGTCGATCTTTACTATCCAGATGAATGTAAATCAGGATGCCTCGACCCAGGACGTAGATATTCAACAAAACCTGGCGTAATCTATATGAGTTACACGTAGTTTGAATATCTTTGAAAAAAAAAACCTGTTTCGCCTTCAAAATAAGTGGTTCAGCTTAATGTTTAAAAATTAACATATGAAACATTGGCAATACAGAATGTTAGAAATAGTCTACATGCTAAGCGAAACCCATCGCTACAGTGTCACTAACGGACATATCGTTAACACTGACAGTCACAGGCAACCATGACTACAGCGAGAGACGTCCGCCATAGCAACAGGCTACAAAGTACTGCAGTCATCGGATAATAACAGGCATGGCGTGATATGCTCCCCGTCACAAAACTAAAAGTACATACTTTGTTTAAAGCTCCGACGAAAAGTTAGAAGGAAAGGGTAAAGGTCACAAGTGAAGAACCCGGATTTAAGATGTAAACTGTACTAGGAGAATATAACTGGCAACATTCGTATTGTAGGTAAGTTGATAAGAATTCGGTTTACAAATTACGCATTGTTTTCTGAGCAATTTTAACATATTGCCAAGATCTTATGAATGATGCATAGTCTTTGAGATATACAGTGACACTTAAATGATACCGAGGAGTTTTCTGACACAATTTACTATAATCATTCTCAACACGGAGGCAATTGAATAATCATTGAAAGAATATAAATTTATTACGGTATTAAGACTTGTTTGCAAGCAGGAATCGTGTGCCAGCGTAATTTAGATAAATCAGAATCAATGTATCGATGTATCCATATTTATTTGGCTTAATGTTGAGAATGAAAGCCCCATTTTTTGTCATACATCGTTAAGCACATTTACATTCTAGTGACGTCGCGTTAGCTTAACAACCTGGCTGCAATTGAACATCAGGTAAAGTACCATCAGTCAGGTTTTGACGAGGTCGCTGGTTACGCTGTCGTAATTGTAATTATTTGACAACCGTAACATCCTATTCATGAGCTACGAAAAGACTTCCGACACATGTCACAACACAGTACACGTCTACAATGAATTCGGCTACAGTGATAACCGATGTGGAGTGTGTAAATGGGTCACTTTTCTCTTCGGGTTCGCACTCGTTTCATACATATACTGCGCTGTGTGTATGTATTCAGGGAGGCCGAAAGAATGTCTGGATGAATGGATTTCGCTAAGTTCTCTAAGAGGGTTGGGTTCAGGAGTATTCAGTTTTTGTCCTCTGTGTGTGCGCGCTATGTTTGTTTATCAGAAGATGAATTAATTCATGTCGTTTGTTTAGTGCCTCTCCAGTGACATGTTAAAATCATTCAGAACGACACACCTTCCGATCACATAATACTTACAAAAACTAAACCAGTATATTTATATATCGTCATGCCCATGATTTTAGCAAACTCTAAAGATTTAATGTGTGACATTTCAAACCTGTTAATAGACTTTCTAGTTGCCAGTCAACGATCAGTGATCTGTCAGCATTTACCTGTTATGTAAAACCAACTACTAAGGTGGTATTGCCGTGAGCTGAGTGGTTGGATGGTATGCTTTTATGAGAAAGTCATCCTTATCAAGTCAAATTAATCATTACATTTGAATATATATATATAAAAAGATGAATAAATCGGTCTCGTGTATGAACTAAGTTCTCATCAGAAATGTCTGCACGAGTAGGACGTGGGCGTTTAATGTGTAATATCTCCAGGAACTACTCGTGCGTTCACTTGGTGTGTGGAGTTTAAAATAGAGTATACAAAACTAATAATGATTAAGTATGATTCGAATAGATCCATGTTTATTACAGTTGTGCAGTTAAAGAAAACTGCCACATTCACGAAGGATGGAACAAAATATTTTACTTTCTATACAAAATTTTCTCTCAATAGCTTATCAGGTATGTAATTAAAACAAGTGGGCGTTATATATATATGCTATATAGTATATAAAGCATCCAGCGGATCATTGCCTTTCATTGTTATTATGAAATGCGGGTAGGAAAGAAATATCTGCATTTTAGGGTGATTGTAAAATGACATACCATAAAGACTTAACTCATTTAATGGAGTTTATAATTATCAAATAAATTAGAGAGAGGAGAACAAAAGAAACTGTGTAGGACATGGATTGAATTACAATATGTGTTATATTGTTAGATATCAGAATTCTTTACATACCATCATTTACATGCTCAATAACACGAGCCAGGTAACTATACTGAACAAAATAAGTTAAGGATCATAAACTTGAAACAGTGCAGTTTTACATACAAATAATAATATGATTATATTTTAAATTTTAATGACAGAACATTCATTTTAGTCTTTAATTACACAAAACAAATTCATTTGTGGTAATTGCTACCAAGAGCAGATAACCCTGAGTAACAGCACCCTTGAAATCAAAGTGTAAGAGGAAGTAGAGCAAGTTAATCATGTAGACAAGGAAAACTCATCAAACTGCAATTGGCAGTTTAATAGGCAGTATGACCTCCGTTGACATCAATAACTGCCCTGCAACGTCTGCACATGCTCCTTATTAGTCGTCGGTGGCTGATCTGTGGGATGCGCTGCCATTCCTCTTGCAGAGCAATCATAAGCTGTTGGCGGTTCTGTGGCGGATTAGGTCGAGCTGAAACCCGGCGTTGCAAGGTGTCCCAAGCATGCTCGATAGGGTTCAGATCAGGAGAACGACTTGGCCAGTCCATGCGAACGATTGCTTCACGTTGAAGATAGTCGTTGACCACACGAGCACGGTGAGGACGATCATTATCATCCATCAGAATAAAATCATGGCCAACAACTCCTGCAATGGGCCTTACTATAGGGTGTAGAATCTCGTCCCTGTATCGAACAGCTGTTAAAGATCCATTGTCTATGATGTAGAGGTCTGTATGGAAGTCAACACTGATCCCTGCCCAAACCATCACTGACCCACCACCAAAGCTGGACAACACAGCAGTCTGCATAGCGCTCTCCTTGGGTTCTCCATACCCTCCTCCTACCGTCATGGAAGTCAACACAAAACCTAGACTCATCTGTGAACATAACATTTCTCCAATGACGTAATTGCCAATTCAAATGATGAGTGGCCCATTGATGTCTGGATTGTCGATGACCTCTGGATAAAATTGGTCGGACTGCTGGTCTTCTAGCTCGTAAATTAGAGGCATGGAGTCTGTTTCTGATTGTCTGGGATGAAATCCTTAGATTTGTAGCACGCTGAAACTGAAGATTCAAGACAGGAGCACTCAAAAACCGCTGACGTCGTGCCGTGATGCAAATGAATCTGTCCTGTCGGGCTGTCGTACAGCGTGGTCGTCCAGATCTGGGGCGTTGACGGACGTTATTTGTCTGTTGATAGCGATTCCATAGCCTACTAATCACGCTCTGAGAAACATGAAGCTTTGCCGCCACATTTCGTTGAGTTTGACCAGCTTGAAGGAGCCCTATAGCTCGCGCGGCTTCCATATCATTTAAATGTCTTCGCATGATTAGTTTTTCAAGTTTTCGTTACAAATTCATTAAATGTTTCCAAATTCAACTTTTTTTAGCTTAGAAGTAACAGAATCAAAACCTGCAAGATTCCTCTGTAGTAATAGACCAGTCAGTTTTTCACACCACCATAGTTAACTAGAGCGGAACGGCAAGACCTTCAGATGCACGTGCTTTCACCTTTGACATGACTTTAGGTACATATTGGAGAAACTACGAGTGCAATTACCGGCAATACATGATTTGAATTTTTAAAGATATTATGGTCACAATTTATGATCCTTAACTTATTTTGTCCAGTATACTAGCCTTACATGCACCATGATATCGTATTACAATCTTGAAATAACAAGTCCGTTTTAAAGTATTCTTACAACTTCCAGTTTGATTGAAATATAGGTGTTGTTTATCACAGAGCACGTGATTAGACAAAATATATCAACCAACCAATTGAAACTACATGAACATGTGGTTGCCATGGTAGCCCGGCCATTGTACTCAGGGTGAGATATTGTTCGATTTTGCTGAAAATTTATTAAAAAGTTTTTGAAGAATATCTTTTACAATGTTACAACTTCTCAAAACATCTTATTTCATTTGATTATTATTGTAACCATGTCACTATACGTAGGTTTTATGTAATGGACAGTAGCTCACCAGTCCTTAGTCAATATGGAAAAAATATTGGAGGTTTCTGATTGGTCAAAATGATACCATGTTTGATTATGTTGAAAACGTCATTTAGTTGCTAGGGTTACAATATATATATATATATTCTGAGAATCATATGTAGATGTGCATGTAGTTTTTATACTCTCGCATCTTGTAACACAGTAGGCGTAAACACACGTACTTGTTGGTAATAGCCATGTTTATTACATGTTGAATAATAACAATGTTACAGGTGCAAAAGCAACATCTTATCAACATACAGAGTTCATATACGCATACTAGTACTTCACATTGTGTCTCGTATCAGAACTGTCCCAAGGCCCAAGGCCCAAGGCCGTGTGTTATAATCTCCCCCCCCCCCCCTTTTTTTTTTATCTTACTCTGGACCAAGCTTGTCCGACCATTCCCCCTAATATGGACTTCACTTGTTGCTAGATGATACAATTGTTGAAGTACAGCCACCTGTACTCGACTCGCGGTGAAAGGTTGAGATTCCCCTTGATAAATTGTTACTTGAAATGAACCCTAATACTTACTCTACTACTAGGTGGCCACTGTCCGAACAGGAAATTGCATAAGTTTGATTATCAAGGGAGTGGGGGAAAGTCTGTAATTAATTAACTGGCCGAAGCTGTACACCCACTGATAAGATTCTCGGGGCCCAGATTACACCAACCTTAGTGTATATATGCAAGTAATTATCCACACCCCTGTAAACTACCTTTATGTGTTATATTGATATAATATTGAACATTAAACGAACTATTGTTTAAGCTAACTTATTTCAACCAATCCCATATGAAAATCCAGCTGTATTACACTAAACCCTATTTTGTTACCGTAGACATGCATGCAGTTTTTATACTTTCGCATCTACAGATTTCATTAAATGTGAGTCCTGATTTGATTGGGAAAGCAGTACCATGTCGGTTTAATACTAACATGAAAATGAAGTATTCTTGTTGAAGTTTGGTTGTCTTGATATACAAACGTTGAAATAAAATGAGAGTGAAAACATTCTGTAAAGCTATAAAGTATCATTAAGTAGATAGTCAGAGAACAGAAATCGTTGATGTTTCTTGTCTTTTGAGTTCTGATGAATATACATTGTTTACACAACAGAGTCGGCGCCTTCTGTAGTTATGAGTTGAGAACTTCCAGGATCTGACAATATGACTTCAGCATTGAATGGAATTTCTCTTGATGACAAGACGATCCAGAATATCATCACAAAAACAAAACACTATGCCTTGTTACACGGTATGTATTCCACTAGGTTTGAAATACGAAATCATTCCAAAGAAACGAAATATTTATTTTTTTAGTAATACAATAACCCAAATTACCGATTAATGACAAGGACCTTCGTCGTTTTAATGAATCCCTCACTTGCGAAATATTCTACAGAGACAAAGTTGTATTGCTGGCTTGTCTTGTTGTTTACACAAATATCTTTTATAAGTTTAATAAACCAGGGTTATAGGTTACAGTCTTTATTGTGATAATGCATACCAAAGAGGTCAATTTAATAGGATCAGGATGGGGAAATCTATGTGATTTCAACACTATAGAATCTGTTCCACGTCTACGAAAGATGTCGACACGACATAAATAGAGTGTCGAGATAACAAGTTGATATGTCGAGATAACAAGTGGATATGTCGAGATAACAAGACTTTGAGGACGTGTTGTGGTAGTCATCATGATCTTATGGGGAAGTGTTCCATTTCTTTCTATGATATGACAAGATGTCAAGGGGCTTTCAAATTACATGTAACAGTTATATTTACTGACAGGTGTACTGATACGGTCAACTGACTCTCCGGGCGATTCCGAGAAAGTCCACTATGCCCCGATTACTCTGTTCCCGTCCCTAGTACCCCGGGAGGCTCTCAACAAGGTGGAGGCAATTCAAATACATTTTAACAAGATGATGCATATGGTTGCGCAGGATTTGGATTTCCTTCAAAAGTGTCTGTGCAAGTAAGTCATATATAAATCTATCCATTGACTATGTGAACATGGGCTCACATAGTTTTAAACATACTTTCTCTCCCGTTTCTCTCTTACTTTATATTCTTTCCCCTGTCTTATTTGATGTTTATACACTTTCTCTGAACAAATTTCTTATTCACAGTCATACATGTAAAATGTAAGGATAATCCCAACTCTTAATAAAGTTTTGCTTAATAAAATGAAAATCATACATTTGATATCCTTAGTTTTTATTACCTCCTTGACATAAAGATGGTCTGTAGACATCCCTTGTAACAGGTTGAATAAACATTAAAAACATTAAATCAGCTGTCATGGAATAATTTACATATATATTGACTCTTTTTTTAACAGTGTTATACAAGTTGACGATTTTAACAAGCGCCTGTGGGACATTGTACAAAGAGTAAACGAGGAAGGAATTACACAGGTAAGTAATCAAAGACTAGACAGTTTTATTAGCATCATTAAATACGTTCGTGATTTATCCATAACCCATAACCCGAACTTGTTAAACAGCGCTAAAGCACAACGAAGGCATTGCTTTATAGAAGTCAAAATTCTGGGCTACTCCTTAATTTCCGGTTTCATCACACATGTCAGGTGAAGCTTTATCAGACCACAGAGCTCCAATACGGAGTGAAAATGCATTTTATCTATTACTTTACCACATCTTTGATATTCAGTAGATATGCCTATGTCATATTTTTGTAAAAATATCCGTTTTCTACCATATGTTCGTGGCAAATCGATCATATGATAATTTGGAGCTTAAATTTGTTTTCATTTTATAAAACTCGTTATGAGTTTTTCTTACATTTCAATTCGCCAAAGACTCGCTAAAATTAAAAATTAGTAGATTTGTTTATTATAAACTCACATATCAAATGGAATCTCATGAAAGATATTATACATGTATATATATATATACTGAGGTGTAAAAGTATCTATACACATAAAAAATAGGTAAGTGACCAGGATAATATTAACAAAGATACCCCCTTACATTATTGATTGTGATTTGCCTTTACCCTGAATTTTCCAATTAAGCCAACTACGTTTCAGTAATTAAAGACAGCTGAAAATACGCGATTCTCACATTCAGTGTATACTGTTGCACTTCACTTCCTGTACTGACTCTGCATTGTTGACATACGCATAATGTCCTACTCTTCCACTATGCTGTGTTTTGTTTCCATTTTAGCCCATAAGTCTTGGAATGTTTCGAAGTGATTATATGATGGATGCAAAACATTCGACCAATGGTAATCCTCTGATTCCTACTGACCCTCCCACCAATGGTGACCTTCCGACATCTGCCTCGATACCAGACAATCTACAGATGAAGCAGATAGAATTCAACATGATTGCCACCGGTTCTGCTGGTCTGATATCGAATGTAGATAAAGTGCACAGGTATTTTTCGTAATGTCCTGGATTGTCATGTATGTGATTGATATGTGTTAGATTTCATACTCTGATTGGTCTTTTCATAACTTAAAAGTTATTCAACCTCAATTACTCAATTATGCAATCATGGTTCATAGAAGAACGTCGTTTAGTATCCCCTTCATATTACATGTTTTTTCAACTTGTCAGAAAATGTGAATTACTTTCAGTAGTATATCAGATAACAAGAATAATTTGAAGATTTCAATTTGATTTTAACACGGATATAACGTCATAAATGTGTTTACCTCATAATCATGGTCATTAGATCATCATACTGCCTGATAATTATGTATTTAAAAAGACAATTATTAAAAAAAATAATAACGTATTGAATTAATACCTAGAAATTATATGACTGGTACATTTCGAGTTGTATTAAGGATAAATGATACATTTCCTTTTAAGAATCTTGATTTACGCCTCTCTGTTGTAAGTTATCAGAGGCTGGAAAAGGAATAACAAAACATTGCAATGGAGTAAAATTTATAATTTCTAAACATGTGCCAAGGCAGTGATAGATTATCAACAAAAAGTAGCACAAGAGTCAAAAGTCGCATATGCTATTGCAAAGTGTCTGCCATGCAGTTGATGTCTTTATAACTTTAATTAAATTTTCCCTAGGTTTTCTCTGACACTTGCTGGGAAAAAGTTTGATGATTCACAAGTGAGTGGTATTCCTTTCCGTTTTCAAAAAGCGAAACATCTTCTTGCAACATTTATAAAATGATAACCAAAAATGATAGAGATCCAGCTCAGGAAAAATCGTGTTTTAATCAAGGTTATTACAGAATTGAATTTGACTAGATAATATCACTTTACCCAAAAGAATACTGAATTAACTCAAATGAAATCAGTTAAAAAATATGTGAGACCGTCTATATAACACTGTTTAAGATTCCTTTTCCTCCGATTCTGGTTTGCAATATTTTAGGTAAATTTCCAATTGCTGGTTTTACTCTACTATCTCAGAAGCTGATTCTCGCTCAGTAATCAGTGGATACTTAGTCGATCTTGCTCAAACGGCTGTAAGGATTGTAAACATAAGCACTCATTATTATATGCGATTTAATGTCTTAATGCCATCTTCCAGGAAACGGTCCACAAAAATCTAATTTATATCGACTATACTGAATGGTTATAGATTTTTGAACTAAATACTTAATAACTTGTTATTTTAAATGGCACTCTATATATTCACAATTACTCAAAATTTGTGAAATATGTAAATCACATCCTATGTCTACCCTAACTTCTATGATATATTTTATTGTGTTTATATTGTGTTATTTTTTTCTCTTTTTTTCACAAATAAATGTAGATTAATATGTATTATTAATGGTTTATGACTAAGGTTATTCAGTCATATCACTCAAAAACAAAAGAAAACGCAGTTCCAACTTTTAAACGTTGAAAAGTGTGTTACATAATTGTACCTCTCATCCGTCAGCGTTTTAAAATGAAAAGTGCATCCTCACACTTGATTTATTCAAAGCTTTAAAATACTATTTTACAAATTATTGTCAATTCCAATATGTCCACATATCTCTGGTTATATTATAAAAGAAATATTTAAATAAGAGAATGACTTATCTAATAATTAATGCAGGTATTCCTTAACGCTATAAAACACTATACCATTTAATAAAATCTAGGAGTGTTCTAACATAATAGCTTATCGTCTTTTTTTGTTTTTGTTTCTAACTTTCAATCCACACCACGCGTGATTTACCTAAGATACATTTCACGTATGAAATTAACTCTTTCGTTTTTGTTAAATGCGAAACATAAAACAGGAAATCAAGGTATCACTAAATGAAATGTTTATATATTATTTCAATATTCAATAAATTTCCAGCACACAGGCTACTACATACGATTGGATCCCGACGACCGTTTTTATTTTCAAAAACAAATCCCCTTCCTTCGTTCTTTCGAGATTAAAACACATCCATCAACTCATAACGTATACATGTAATCAATTTCCCTTCGATTCATGACTGATATAATTGTCCCTGCAATATATAGTGGTTTACAACGATTCCTTTAGCAATTTGTTTAGACTTTGTATGTCCTCGGGTGGAAATTGTAGGATCGGCCTAACTCATGTATTTTGAATTCATTTGAATATGAATAGATCGAGGAATTTATTCCAAAATAAAAAAGATATTTCTTTTATTAATTCAGATCCCCGCTAATAACCCTGCTCATGGAATGGCCCGGGGATTGGTAGAAGGATGGAAAGCATATGGAAACAAAACGTAAGTAAGAAAAGATGCTATACCAGTTTGTCTGTTCACCAAACATCTGTAGAGCATGATTTGTATAGGGAGTAATTTTCAAAACATATGTATTTAGATTATAAACATTAAAGAAATAAAATCTTCTGCTGAAAACATCACAAACGGAAGTCGCTAAATAATAAGTAACATTGATATAGTCTAGTCTGCTGTGAAATATTGCTCTAATATTTATATTCCAGGGCGTGTGTGCTGTTTTTGGTGTCGGTGCCAGAGTTGAACACTCTTGATCAGAGACGACTAGATTTGGAAATGTTTATATGTGACACAAGCATTCCTATTAAATACGTCACCATTAAAGATATGACAGATCGGGGTGTTCTGCGGAAAGACAAAGCTTTGATCATGTAAGTAAAAAGATATTTAATTTCGAAGATACATAAGACATCATGTTTACATGTTATAAGGTAAATGTTAAAATGTGAGCACCGTCTCTACATATGAATAACACATATTTATATGACATGTCAGTCTATACATTTTACAGCCGTGATTTTTTTATTGTAATTATAATAGCTATTTATAACTTTATATTTACAAATCCAATGTACATTGTTTGGCCTCAACAGAATTGATGTTTACATTTTGGTAAACGTCAGATCTGACAACATTTCCCGCCAACATGGAATCCGCTATTTTGCCATTCCATCAGTTGTCAGGCTGTTCCTTCAGTGTGTATATCGTCCAATATATGACGATATTTACTTTTTTAAATAGTAATGACAATAATTATAAAAAAAAATATAATTATAAGAAGTATGTATTTTTCTTTTTGTTGTTTACCTGACAGGGATGTAAACAGCATCATTTTTAAAACAGATATTTTAACATAAAATTCAAAATATCCGTAAATAACCAGCATTCTACATACTTGCCAGTTACACACACAAACACCCATCCACAAGAACAAATGATTTCCTGATGTTTTGGTCGGTTTTATAATAGATCAAAGTACACAATTTGTAGCAATACGACAATGTCTGCTTTGTGTATGGATTCCGACGTATTGTTATTCCAGAGATGAGTGTGAAGTGGCCGTTGTATATTTCCGTACAGGATACTCTCCTACGCATTACAGTTCCGAGAAGGTACACGGATTTCATAATGATGATAAACTATCACTTAGGCAAAGTAAACAGATTAATAATGTCAGATATTATTAAATGTAAAGTGTAAGTATTCATCATTTAAAAAAAAAATAATCGTCAGCATAATCCAATTATTAAAAGATACTTTATGAGTGATCTCATCGCAAATATTCTATTTCTGTATGGGCTGTATCAGTTAGGTGATGATTTCATTACCTTCAAACACTCAGTAGCTTACCATATATGTATATCTACAATTTCGTATCCAGTATTTCAACTAATTTGCTTACATACACATTAAGGAGTTATTTCCCTCAATATAACAAATCTAAGTATATCTTATGTCTAAATGTTAGTTACCACCTATTGTCAGCTTAAGGAGAGGACTGATGTCCATTCCTATATTTCTGTCAATGAAAATTCTTTGAAATAGATATTATATTTTTATGAGCGATATAAAGTTGAACATGTTTGATGGTCGTTAGTATGCCCGAGGGTTCCGTTTATGTTAACATGGTTCTCATTTAGAAATTTGACATTACTTACATGGATTGACAAAGATTTACGTTACCATTGCTATCGAAGAATCAGAAGACATTATCTTACAGAGAAATCATATCTTTTTGGGGGGTTCTCCGCGGAAATTTAGCTTGTTCATGTTTTGCCCTCGTTTCATCAAATATGAGTTGTATTTTTATTTTGTTGACTTATCTAAGTTTTCTTTTTTAACACATGAATATATATCTAACCTCGTTGTCTCTGCTGTTATGACCAGGACTGGGACACTCGTCTGATGATGGAGCGGTCAAAAGCTATCAAGTGTCCAAGCGCCCAGTACCAGTTGGCGGGGACGAAGAAGGTTCAACAAGAGCTATGTCGACCTGGAGCTGTTGAGAGGTTTATAAAGGATGCTAAAGTAGCCCACGACATCAGGGAAACCTTTGTCAATCAGTACAGTCTCGACGTGGTAAAGATAGTCTTTCTTTAATGACATGCGTGTTATATGATTTCTACTGCTATCTTGATTCTTACATATTCACAGAAATTTGCTCAGTCTTTAATATGAAATATCTGATTGATTATATACATACACTCATTAAATACCTTTAATGGACCAAACGGATTGAAAATGGGACATGAGTATCTCTTCTTTTGAATTTCGACATTTGATAGATATATTTTAACTCCCCATCTGGATGTACTTATAAATATTATTGACACTAACTTCAGTGACACTTAAAGGAAGACGAACCAGTCGTAGGACATGGTTATTATCTTCAAATTCATTTCTATACATAATGTTAACTTTTCTTGTCCCTAGTAACTTTTCAAATTCAACATATGCCCATACACGAATTATATTTAGTGGCATTACCAGGGGGAATAACTCCAACTGTCGTCTCACCAGAAGTGAAATATCAACAGTCCATGTACAGCAAGGGAAGCCACACTTTCCTTATTTTTCCGAGGATGAAGGTTTAATTCATTCATTCATACCATTCTTATGTTTTACGATCGTAGGGGGAAGATGGAGATAAAGCTCTGGAGAGTGCATATGCCAATCCTCAGAACTATGTCATTAAAACCAACAGGGAAGGCGGAGGTAGGTCAAGGTTACTTAGAGGTGGAAATAGATATCAAGGTAACCTAGAGGTGGAAGTCTTGTTTGCATTGTGATAGAAATTATATATGAAGTATGAAAATTCTTATCTTCGTTTATAAATTAACAATTATCTTAAATATTAACGAGATATAGAGCTTATACATATAAATATACAGATGGCACTACCTTGACATTGTTCCTTTGTTAAAGTTAAGTTACATTAAGGGGGTGGCGTTACGTTTACGATCGACCTGTGCATACAGTTGTCTACAGTGCATTTATGATAAGTGATTTAACTATAGGTATACTGTCTTCAGGTAACAACACTTATGATGAAGATATTAAACCTTTACTGACGGAAATTAAGAATTCCAAGGAGGAACGTGCAAAATATATCGCCATGGAGCGGATATTCCCTTGGTCACAGACTTCCTATCTCCTGAAAGCCGGAGCTGACGCCATGTTTAGAAGTACTGTCACGGAAATAGGAGTATTTGGTGTTTATATCGGGTACGTGTTCATTATCATTCCTTCTCTTTGAAAGAGATTTTACAGATTCTGTGACATGTTATTGTTTGTTTCAGCTGACGAAAAATATTCAGTTACAATTGTATGATACTGGACAACAATATCTCTATATGATTGGAGGTTTGTACTTGCCGGCGCCCGGCGGTGTCAGGAGAAGCCCGCTCGATATGATCTTTTCCTCTCTCAGACGAAACTTGTAGTCTCTAAAGATCACCATTAATTACTGAAATTTATATTGTACAGCTTTCTGTGGCTAAAGTCGCCCAAATTTAAATATAAGCCAGATGCATTTTTCATGAATATACGTGCACGTGCGAGATTAGAAAAAGAAGTGTGATATGTTTTATCGTGTAAAGGCTTATTTCACAATAGCGGATCTCTTCATTTTAGAACTGATGACAAAGATATCTACAACAGTGTCCCTGGACACGTGTTAAGGACGAAGACTGCAGACTCGAACGAGGGTGGACTGATGGTTGGATTATCATATTTAGACTCGCCACTCCTGGTAGATTGATCAATGGTTAGGCACAACAATTGACACGATTTATTTTCATACATATTTCAAATTGTTCAAAGTGTTCTTATCATTGAGATTTAAACCAGATACCTAGAACTTTGACTGGATAATATGACAGTGGTTGATTAGGCTGGACTTCAAGTTCGGTGATAACCATGGAAAATACAATGTGGTGTAGGTGAAGTAATTCATTTGAATATTACATATCTTAAGTTCTTAAGTAGGACAGCAGGCGAGGATATTAATTTACAAAATACATGGTATTTACTTAACATTTACATTCCTTCATATAGCTCAATCATAACATTAGGTGCAATGAACGAAGCAGGATGTTTTGAATTAAGACAGATCCCGTGCAGACTTGAAAAGTAGACCTTCCATAGACGTCATGGGTTTAACTCTCTAGTTATTTCCACGTTTAATTCAAGGTCCCTTGCAACTTCAGGAGTTGAATGCAATTATCAATCATTAAATGAAGGTAATTTGATCTACTGCCTTAATGCAAGAGTAAGGGCATCTATATTTCTCCCTTATCGTGATTGTTAACTGGACGTCGGGAGAAGGTATTTGGATCAAATATTATTCTAATAAAGCATGTTTTCTGGATGTGTCCGCAATGTACTTGTCTTAGTCGAAGGCTGACATTCTGGCGAAGTCGAGAATGAGATGTTACAAATTATAAAAACATCCGAAAAGCTATATGATGTCATTTTTGTATTTTAAATTAACACAGATTGCACTGGGTAGCGTGTGAGGATTCATTGTTGTTGTGAGAGAAAATTATCCTGGACACTAATATGGCACCTATGTCGATATTGTCATTTTATGACTATCCCCGGTGTCGGACAATGTATCATTGACGCAGCATCTATATTAAGTTGTATTGTGGTATATATTGATGAGTTTAATGAGCACAACATTAAACTATATCAACTAATTCTAATTAAAGTAATATTTGTTTCTTATTTTCGTTTTTTTTTTTTTTTTTTTTGTTTCTTTTGTTTTGTTTTTTCTCGCTAATTATTACCCATCACCTGGTTTGAGAAAAGTGTAAATCGAATTTAATTCAGATTCTTTTTTACTCCTTGACGTAATCAGGAGGCATGATTAATAAAAAAAAATCTTATAAACTATTGTTTACAAAACAATGATATAATTCATATCAGTTCTTACATCATAGACATCACTGATACAACAACCTGACATACCGATGTGACAACAAAATTCAAACCCAAAATCAATCCAAACAAAGCCACACCATGAACACAGGAAAGATTTACAGGGAGAAACTCGGAAAAAATAACAAGCAAAGATTGTAAGATTGTACAAAAGGCACACAAACAAGTAGTACGTTGTAATGAAATATTCGAGCAAGATAGAGCTAAATAATGAATTAACGAATTAAACTACATCATACACCTGTTTCATTCTTCTAGGTCTCGTTAATGAAGCTAAGGCCATAATTGTTGAAATCAAAGAGGCGTCTGAGAAGACCCACAGTGATCGAATAATGATTTAAAATCCAGATAATTTCAAAAGGACATCAAGGACTTGTGTATATTCAATGAATTTTGTCACTATTCGTGTATGCAGGTAACGTCAAACATTGTGGACTTATATGAAGACAACCAAAGTACCATATATGCAAACGAGCGTTGAACATATTGCATAAGGAAATCGATAATTTCCCCAATAAGATCATGACGGTCACCATATAACTTCCACATAGATTACAACAGCCTACACATTTTTGATAATAGACTTATTGTTGAGGTAACGTGGTTGCATATGATATAATGTATAAACAGTTGGGTATAACGAAAGATATTTATATAGGACGTCGACAAAGACATCCTTGTTGGACCAAATGCGTGTACATTGCCTTAAAAACACACACTAAAGACCCATTGTGAAATAAGGCTTTGTAATTTATTTAAATAAACGACGAAGGAGAGGCAGAAGTGCATCGATGGCACTCACCATGTCATTCTTTATCAATCCTATTGTAAATCGCTATATTTGAGCGAGTATTAAATTTCACGATAGGAAAACGTCTGTGTTATTCGCGAATTCATAATTTCACGAGTACCACACTACAAAAAGTCGTGTATTTAAGGATAACAACAGCAAAAATTATATTCACGAGAGATTTGAATTCGCGAATGAAGCTGCTCGCAAATAAACGCGAAATATAATCTTTCGCGAAATATAAGTGATTTACAGTTAATAATGTCACGTCCCCGGATGAGAACAATGTAAACAGCAATGGAACGTATGTTAAAAAGTATCAAACAAGTTCAGCATCATATTGCACACAAAGAATACTTTCGGTTAGATTATTATTATGACAGTAAAACTTTTCTGTAATCTATGTTATCCTGCACATGTTGAAACCCTGTTCCTGTGAGTTTGTTTGTCAGTTGCCGACATCTTGCACCAAAATCGCGATACTGGGAAAAGTAATAGCATATCAAATTACTTGTGACATTTAAACACTGTAAGTTGGAGAACTAGGGATATTGCTATACAGAAATGGTAAATTCACAATAGGGAAATTGAGATCCTTTTGTTTCTAACACAGCATGGTGAAAAGTTGTCCATGCTGGTTTTGTTATAGGAAAATTCTCTGTCGTGTCAACTCTGTTGACTATGTACGGTGAACATGGTCAATAAATATTATTTGTTATTGAAAAAAGACTCCATAAATATATTTGGAAGTGAAGTTAAAGACCTTGGCAAAGTCTTCGTGACCGGGTTTAATAAGCACTCAGACAAATTCAATCTCACATGCAAACTAAAAACCAGTTAGTTTCCAAAGGTATGTCAATTATCTTTTGGAAGATCCTGCCAACAAACTCAGCGAAAGATGCAGTCAACCTGGAATTTGATCAGTATTTTGATTTCGTCTTCCTTAAATGTATTCTTTGATTTGGACAAATTGTTCACGAAATACGCCTCAGTATTGTTCACAACTTTATATATGTAACGCAATTGACGAAATTTCTCGTAACCAGAAAAAAAGCATTCCTTCAGTTTAGAATCCGGTATGGTGGTGTACATATTGGAAAAATCACCCGTTTCCCCATTATCACACATAACCGATTATTTCGTAAAGTGCATGTAATATATACTCAACAAAAAAGAAAGGTTAACATGTTTCCTTGGCGAATACCTGTAAATGAGTGAAAACAAAATGACGTTTGTGCAATATTAGAAAATGGTAATGTTTTACATTACAAAATCCAAGGGGGTTACCAAAATCATTCAAGCGTGAAAGTCTGTATTAGCGAAAGAGCTGCACGAGGTTTTCTGCGACTAACTTGTATCTTCGCTTGAATTTCATAAACATTCAAACTGACAACTGTTCCTTAGATCCTTAGGACTTAGAAATCACCGAATCTTGCTATCTATCAACTTTATCATTATGTACCGGCTGTCACAAGTACAGAGAGAAAGGACTGTAGGCATGATCCAGGCTGGGGAGTCTCGCCGTCGAGTTGCACGGCATTTTGGTTGCAGTGTTAAGACAATTTGCCAGTTGGTAAGTCGTTTAAACCAAACTGGGTCAACATTCGATCGTCTCCGAAGCGGCCGACCCCATAAAACGACCGCCAGGGATGACCGTCGTATACGATTGATACACTTGCGCAATCGATTCGTAACCGCAGTAGAGACTACAAGGACATTGTTTGGGCGTCGTGTGTGTCTCCAAACCGTCCGCAACAGGTTGAGTGCCTACCAATTGAAAGCGCGGCGTCCCTACACTGGACCCAATTTGTTGCGACGTCACCGTAATAATCGGCGTAACTGGACCCGTGTTCACCGTCGTTGGGCGTTACGACAATGGAACAATGTTCTGTTTTCAGATGAGTCCAGGTTTTGTCTACAACACGGTGACGGAAGGCGCAGAGTGTGGAGGCGACGAGGGGGACGTTTTGCGAACTACTGCGTCGCAGAACGGGACCGCTTTGGCGGAGGAAGTGTAATGGTTTGGGGTGGTGTTTGTGGGGGGACTCGTACCAGGCTTGTTGTGTTAAACGGCAATTTAACCGGCATTCGATATCGGGACGAAATTTTAAGACCAGTGGCTCTGCCATTCTTAAGACGCCATGGCGTTGGCGCCATTTTTCGACAGGATAACGCACCAACGCACACCAGCCGCGACAGCATAACTTTCTTGCAGCAGAATAACGTACAGGTGTTAGATTGGCCATCTAAATCACCTGATTTGTCACCGATTGAGCATGTCTGGGACGTTCTTGGGCGACGCGTGAGAGAACGTCAAAATCAGCGTCAAACTTGCAGGAGCTGCCCCAAGCCTTGATTGCTGAATGGAACAACATCTCTCCTCGAATTATCCGCCGATTTACGAGTTCCATGCGACGACGCTGCAATGCTGTTTACTTCGCAAACGGTGGCCATACCCGTTACTAATGGTGTTACCTTTGAAATTGACTCCAACGTCCTTTACAGTCGAACAAAATCAACTGAACGCAAAGTTTTATAATGAACCATGACTGCAGTTTTATCAGAATTGATCAATTACTTTATTCGTACATGATTGGTAAGGATTTATGAAGGGGTTAATTAATTAATCACAGAATAAAGTAATGTTACCTTTCATTTTTTGTTTAGTATATGTAAATGCTTCTAAAGTCACTGTCCAATTTTCCACAAGGGGGCTTAAATGGAAAGCTATGTTGAACATGATGGTGTTCTCATCACTCTCCGCGCTTAACTATGTCTATGATGGAGGTATCAGACTTTTAAGGTTTTCCTTGTAGACGAAGTATGTCTGTTACCGTATTTTAGGTACTTTATCAGTGAAGAGAGATTCTTGTGCCTTTCAAAGAACGAAACCTATCATGTATTATACATGTAGGATATACACCTTGTCACAACATGTATTATACATATAGAATATACACCTTGTCAAAACATGTATTATACCTGTAGAATATACACCTTGTCACAACATGTAGTATACATATAGAATATACACCTTGTCACAACATGTATTATACATGTAGGATATACACCTTGTCACAACATGTATTATACATGTAGAATATACACCTTGTCACAACCTGTATTATACATGTAGAATATATACCTTGTCACAACCTGTATTATACATGTAGAATATACACCTTGTCACAACCTGTAGAATATACACCTTGTCACAACCTGTATACATGTAGAATATATACCTTGTCACAACATGTATTATACATGTAGAATATACACCTTGTCACAACATGTATTATTCATATAGAATATACACCTTGTCACAACCTGTATTACACATGTAGAATATATACCTTGTCACAACCTGTATTATTCATGTAGAATATACACCTTGTCAGAACATGTATTATACTTGTAGAATATACACCTTGTCACAACCTGTATTATACATGTAGAATATACACCTTGTCACAACATGTATTATACATGTAGAATATACACCTTGTCACAACCTGTATTATTCATGTAGAATATACCCTTTGTCAGAACATGTATTATATATGTAGAATATACACCTTGTCTCTTCGTCAGTTGGAATCACTGTCTACTCTGTATTCCTTTCGTCAGTCCAAACCTTTGTCTAATCTATCTCCACCTCGCAGACCAGACCATGATCTGTTCTGCTTACCCCTCATCGGATCAAACCATTGCATATTCTGTTTTTCCTCTTCTAGCCAAACTTTTATTTGTTATGTTTTCCCCGTCAGTTCCCCCCACCTCCTGTTGGTTTCTCTCGCTGTCTTTGCCCCACATATGACATATCTGTAGGCTAATATAGACATTTATGGTCCTCACTATAACAGAAAGAGACACACGTTTCCCTCTATGTTATTTGTACGTGTTAGCTCGGTCACGTTGAAAAATGGCCTGATCTTTTTTCACATGTTCAACATACACAATGTGAAATGCTCAAATATATTACACTAAAGTTATTATT